GGAGCGACGCCGGTGCACTTCGCCGCCATGGGCGGCCATCGCGACGTCCTCCGCGCCCTCGCGGCCGCCGGCGCCGACCTGGCGCTCCGTCCGACGCGTGGTGAGCACGCGGGCCGCACGCCGCTGGTCATCGCGCGCTCGCAGCTGCACACGGCGGCGGCCCGGCTGCTGGAGACGCTGATGCCAGAGAGCGCGGCGCGTCTTGCGGTGGCGACGAGGGCGCGCGCCGCCGCCGACGAGGCGAGGCGCGCTGCCGAGGGGAGGGCGCTCGAGGAGGCGCCGAGTCTAGTCCATGGCACGCCCACCGCACCACCCACGGGACCGAACCCACACTGGGTTCGATACTCTGGAGGTATGGTACTCGTCGCTCGGCAGGCGGAGGCGGCGCGGCTCGAGCGCGCAAGCAGCAAGGAGGCGGCCGCCGGCGCGGCGCGGCGGGCGCTGGCAGAGGCGGAGCAGCAGCGCGTGCGCGAGGCGGCGAGGTTTGCGGAGGAGGAGATCCGGCGGCAGGCCGAGGCGGCGGCGGCGCGAGCGGCGGCGGCGGCGGCGTGCGACGGCTTCGAGCTCGATTTGCGGGCGGCGAACGGCGAGATCCAGCCGAGAATCGTGTGTGAGAGCTAGCTGGATTCGGTTTAAGGCGGTAGGGTGGAGGCGTCGGGCGGCAGGTGGGTGACCACACCACCCACGGGACTGAACCCACACTGGATTCAATACTCTGGAGGTATGGTAGGCAGGTGGGTGGCCACCCCCTTGACATGACACCTCCCATGATGGCGTCGGCCGCCGCCCAGGTGAGTGCGTGCGCTGTGGCCGGCCTAAAAGCGCGCACGTGGCGGAGCAGGGCGGGGTGGCGACGACGCCGACCAAGCGGCCGAGCTTCAAGCGGCGCGAGAGCTGGCTCGCATCGCCGGCTGAGGGAGGCGGTACCGCAGTCACCACACCTCAGTCGACGCCGCGGAAGCCGCCGGCCGCCAAGCGACGTGAGAGCTGGCTATCCCCAGTGGCGGGGTCCAAGGCGGTGGCGGCTGCGCCGCTCACCCGGTAGCGCACTGACGTACCGTACCCTAAGAGGACGCCGTGGGCTGTTTACGTAGTACCACTTCCGTGTGCGTCTCTTTCTAAACGCTAAATAAGTAAAGCGAGCCCCGAGACCCCCCAGGCTAAAGACTGCAGTTGTAGAGTACTCGCTGGAGCCGAGCAGGAGGGCGGCGCACAACCCCTGTGCAACTCAGCCTCCGCACCCCGTACGTACGTTACTGTCTTCGGCGCCTGCTGCTGCTCTGTGTTGCGTGTAGCGCTGTAGACGAGCGTTTGAGGTGAATCACCCGCAAGTTGCCCTGCACGACCAGTCGTTCGCATCTCGGCTTGCCCGGCACTTGCGTGTCCTCCACACCGACCAACAAGCGGGTGGCGGCGGCGGGGGGGGGGATGGGGGCGAAAGAGGCGGCGGTGGTGGCGGCGGTGAAGCAGGTGGCGACG